TCTGAGGTACCGTACTACAAGTATGTGCCCGACCCAGTTCTGGAAAATGACCATATCACGTTGTACTGGGACCGGTCTATCATCACTGACAGGACTATTATAGCCAACAAACCTGATATAGTGGTGATAGACCGACAAGTGCGCCGCACGATGATAATCGATATCACTATTCCTCATGATGAGAACCTCGTGAAAGCTGAAAAAGATAAACAAATCAAATATCTTGATTTGGCTCACGAGGTTGTCGACATGTGGAATGTAGATTCGGCTATCATTGTGCCGATAGTCGTGTCGGCCAATGGGTTAATCCCTAATAGCCTCGACAACCACCTTAGGAGGCTAGCGTTAGGCAGTTGGGTCAAGGGCCTGATACAGAAGGCAGTTCTCCTTGAAACGGCACGTATCGTGAGGAGGTTTCTGTCTCTGGAGCCCTAACCACCGGTAGCTTGGACCATGCTCCCGCTACTGGTCGGCTCCTATTTTTTATATTTTTAAATATTATTTTTATGTTTTTGTAAGTAGTATTTAAAAATGTATTTTATAGAGAATTTAAAATAAATGTATGGAAATTCCAATCATTGATCTATTACCAAATTGTACCTTATCAGCCCTTTGTCTAATCATAATTGCAATCACTCCTATCTCCAAACTCCAATACAAATCAGATCAACCTTTAACCAAAGGTTAACTAGCAGATAGCGTCTAAGCTCATTTATAACCATGTGCGTTTGACCTTAAGGTCATAATGAACCAAAGTGCGTGTCTATTATTAAGCCAATGAGCAGATTATACTCAATGCATTGTGCTCATTACATTGGATCATAATCGTAGATTAATCATTAGTTTTGTTGCATTGTAAACAGTAATTGACAAGGTTTCTTGTCTTGTATCATTAAATGTCATCTGGATAATTGGCAACACGTCATTTTAGTTAGCGATATGGGTACTGTGTAATTTGTTTTGTATTTGTTTTGATCTTAAATGATTGTAAAGTTACTTAATACGTATAGTTTCTCGGGACGGTTGATTAATCGCAGTTTGTTATACATAATTACAGTATAAAAATAATAGTTACATCTTTTGCGATACATTCTCTTTAAGAAGAAAGATAAAAGGCCACGGTTAATAATTGATATTACATTAAATGTAACATACACTCTTCGATCTCGACACCGTTTTAAGTAGGTTTTATTGAGAATTTTAATGACACAAATATCGGCGATGCAACTTGACTAGTCATCATATTTCCGTTTTCTGTCAAACCTTTATCAAATCCAGATTATAGCATTAGTTAATATGAATGATTTGCAAATTTTATTTGTAGTACATTACGTAACTATCGAACTATCGAAGTAACATAACAGCAACGTTTGTGTGTAATACTTACGGTCCGAACATTTGCATGACCGTGGCTAATCTGATAACTGGGGCTCTTATACACTGTGTTACATATACTGTGTACATAATATGATTTGTAAAGTAACACTAAACATGTAAATATAGAAATCATATCGATTGAATTGACGGGGGTTACAATTTTAATTTATTCACTATGATGTTAATTTTGAAAATATACGCGTTCTTTTATTTCTTTTCTAAAATGGATAGGCAAGGAATATAAAACCAGAATTACATATGAAAGGAAAGAAAAGCATTTGCGATCACTCACGTATAGTTATTTGAAGTGTCACATTGGCGGGTGCAGATTTCATTGTTGTTAAACTGAAGAACATACATAATATCACACCTTTTATCCTCGAAGGGGTAGGCAGAGGTGCACATTACGGCACTTAACCTCTCGTATGTCGATATATAAGACACAATAAAAAAACCCTGTGTCTCGCGTAGATCTACGCTTTTTTTATGGAATAGGAGGCAAACGAGCAGACGGATCACCTGATGATCACCTCATCGCTTCGGCATACTACGGGTTAATGCCAGTGTAACACCCACTTTTCACTATTCATGTTATGAGTCTCATGTAATAGGTGGCTTACCCCCTATATCATGCTCTATAGGTGTGCCTTTATAATATTAGATACTAGCGACCCGCCCCGGCTTTGCACGGGTGCAATATGCATGTATTATACATACAAACCTTCCTTAAGAATCACTCTATCTATTAAAAAAAACCGCATCAAAGTCCGTTGCGTAGTTTTAAAGATCTAAGCATACATACGGACATACAGCGAAAGCGACTTTGTTTTATACTATGTATTGATAACAAACCCAATATATTGAATAATATTCAGTCAATATTAAAAATAATATAATCAGGACCCGTACATAGTTGAAAATACATATATGCATAAACTTCACACAACCACTTAAATGTACAATTATTTCTTTATTATTAACTCTGACATTGGCGGGAGCTACACAATATGTCTTATTTTACCGACTAATTATGTAAGTCCCACAATTATGAAGTACTATAATAAACGATACATAATTATAAGATTATAATGAGACCTTACAATGCAGCAAACTGAGAACTGAGAAATGTTATCGTATCAATGAATAGGATATTGAATTATTATGTAATCTGCAGCAACTGAATTGTCAGATTCGTCAATACTTCATGAAGGGTATATAACCTGAGTATCTTAAACTGTCAAACACCAAGCGGTCACCGGTGACCGCAACCTATTGTTCTATAATTGTGTCTACAAAATCGGTACTCGACGAGTTAAAAACCCTAGTTGCTTATGGGGCGACGTGCTCCATCATAGGCCGCATCATGGCGGGATAGTGGTCAAACGACCGACCATCAAATAAAAAAAAAACTGAAATTGATGCAACCAATAATTCTGAACGAAGTGGGTATTACAAAACTTTTTTAATTACGATATACATTATACACATATAATTTATGTTGAAACTATAACACATACAATATACATTCATCATAACCCACGTTATCTCTTTCATTAAACCATGTAGCTACAGTGACACACAAAATAACAAACATGATCCTTTTTGACCCAACCACTGTGTCACCGTGTCGGTGACTGTACACACTGACTACATGATCTGGCTGTATATTATCTTTCTACACATTCGACGGTCAGTTTCTACTGGTTATGCATAGCTTGATGTGTATTGTGTAGCCGTTTGTACCTGACATTGCCCACGGGGATTGCGTGCGACCTTGTGCGCATGCGCTTTGACCGGCGCCCGCGCACGAGTTTTCGTTGACGCGTCATTAGTGCAAAGATTGCAAAAGTTATAATTAAAGGTTACGCGATCGCTTGTTAGTAAGCTTGAAAGTTCATGTTTATTTTTTAAGCGGTCTTTTTTAAATAATAATGCAGTTTCAATGCGAATTTTTAATTCTTTTTCACTGATTTATTATTATTTATCTATCCTCTTGATTATCGTTAAAGATAGCTTTTGTTTTATGTACGTGTCTATTCTATCTATATATCTTAGCAAGTTGCCACTACCATAAACCAGTGAATACGACTCTATTCCCAGATTGCCACATGCCATACTTTAGCTCCACAAAAAATGTCAATTTAAACAACGTTTCCTTCATTAACTGCCAGTCCTACTACATACAACTCACGAACCAATAAATTCTAGACATGAACAGTTCACAATGCAACAATTCATTAGCATACTGGTACAGTCACCTGTTCAATCCATTCATTGATAAAACATCAATGTCAAGGCATTTGTTCAGATGAATTAATGAATACTATATTGATACACGATCTAGTTTCGTATTAATTATAAGTCTAGATCTTTTTTAAACGCAACCTATTTAGTGTTTTTTCCTGTGATGTGATTGCCTTTAGAATAATACAAATTAACATTATACAACAAGTTCATCACATCCAGACACGAATTTATAATCTGTAGCTAGATCATAAAAAGAGTTACACCTTACGTAGCAGTTATTTGTCCAGTCTTTTTTTATCGGGACTAGCCCGCCACAACCTCCCAAAACCGCTGCAACTCCTGTAAGCCAGGATCTACAGTAGACCACGAAAACACCAGAACACTGAAGTCCGGCGCGTCCCAGGGACATGAGTAACTGTCTTGATTCTCGCAATGAAGTGAATCAGAAGATGTTATAACAGGAGAAGAAAAATAATTGTCGAGTCTCTGCGCCAACCGCCAAATAGATTCTAGAAGCAGGAACAGGGTAGTTTTTAGTCTCTAGAGGGTCATTGCCCGCTTCATTCATTCTCCCGTTTAAAAAAAAAAGTAGATACTAGTGGATTACGACTCTATCGTAAGAACGTTGAGATTATCCGACCCACTCATGCGCAGAGTGCACAATAGAACAGCCAAGACGTTGAATCTGCAACTATTGACATTTCCGCGTCTTTGCAACGTCGACGTTTCTTGTCCATTTCTTTTCCTTTCTAGCTTAAGTAAATAGATAGATTGTTTCAAAAAGTAATTTAACTCGTCGAGTACCGTCATTATAGACACAATTATAGAACAATAGGTTGCGGTCACCGGTGACCGCTTGGTGTTTGACAGTTTAAACTGTATTGTTCTATAATTGTGTCTACAAAACCGGTACTCGACGAGTTAATCATAGGAGTTTTTACTTACTACACATTTTATCACAATACGAGTTACGTAGTACCTCCCTACCTACCCACCCACTTAACTTATTTGACTTACTTTGGCTTTACTTAAATTAAAACCACCCTGAAACCAAAATCGAAATCGAAATTAATCGCTATTTGACTTACAAACTTTTATTTTAAAGTTCATTCTCCTCTTCAGATGGCGATAACATGTGACTGCCCGATGATGCAGCCGGGCCCGACGCTGGCATCCACCTGCGGAGGAGGCGCCTTCATGCTGTTCATGGGACTGCTCGAAGTGTTCCTCAGGAGTCAGTGCGATCTTGAAGACCCGTGTGGAAGAGCTCAGGTATATAGAAATTAGTAGATGGGTACCATACTGGCTGCCTCCTTGGCCGAGTGGTCGCAAGTTTAATTGCCGGGTTTTTTTAGATCTCAGTAATAGCACGGAGTCTGAAATTGTGGGAGTGGGACTCATAAATAGTGAAAACTAGATATTAGAGGTAAATGCTACAGTGGCATTAAGTGCCGTAATGTGTACCTCTGCCTACCCCTTCGGAGATAAAAGGCGTAATGTTATATTATGGGTACCATAATACTTGGTCTATTAAAGTTACGAAAAAATACTGTTTGAGTGAAGAATATACTGCCAATACCAGATGGCACTTCTGTCGAATAATGTGCCTGTCAGTCTATAAATTGGACGAAGTTTTAATTCGCTCTACCAATAAGTTAAAGCACGATATCTCATGGAATATAGAAGAATAATAAACAGCCACATTTAGGAGCAAAAACTCATCTGTGAACAAACTGATTGACTGCATAATAGTCGATGTAGGCAGAGAGCCACTCCATTATGTATGTTTGACTTGAGCTCGACGTTTCTGGCGTATCTATTCATCAGTGTTTCCGCGATCCACTGATACTCGTGCGGATCTTATCGATCCTCGTTTGATGTGAAGAAATAGTGCGAGATATTTTGTTGGAAAATTATGGTTATGTATGGTAGACTGCGTAATGTATTGCGAATTTTTAAGTTTGGAAATCCTTACTTAGATTGTACTTAATGAACTTAGACCGGTATTAATCCTTACTAATATTATAAATCGGAAAATGAGTTTGTTTGTTTGTTCCGCTTTCACGCCGTAACTACTAAACCGATTGCTTTGAATTTTTGCAGACGTAAAGTTAGAAGTCCGGATTAAATAATAGGGTTATATTATCTTTATCCCGGAAAAATTTGATATTCCTGAGGGAAAAGAAAAGTATTGGTATAGATGGCGCTCTGTGTATTGATATATGTCACATAGGTTACTTTTTATTACGCGTATTTTTATTATTTTGTGACGCGAGCGAAGCCGCTTGTAAAAGCTAGTAAATAACTAAGTAGTAAACCGGAGTTGTTTAAAATTTTCAATCAAAAATGTTTGATCTAGTATAATGTTTATATTATATTGTTTTAATGTTGGTTAACCTATAATTGGCGACTGTATAAGTCTAATACTTATTGTTACTTAATACTATGTATACAGAAGCTGTTGGTATACCTATTTAAATAAATAAATAAAATAAATAAATAAAAATGAATTCCTCTTATATTATTGAGTCATACTTTATGTTCCTACATATGTTCCTTTCAATATCACTCACTCTCACGCAGATTTGACACCGTTTTTTCAGACATTCAAAGATATTTATTACTTCAATGTAATTAATAATATTACTTCATATCCTTACACATACACAAATTTACGTTACACTAGCTGTTCCCCGCGACTTTGTCCGTGTACAATATTAATTTATTTCTAAAATAAAAGTAGCCCATGTTACTCCTTATTACATGATTACATCAGCTACCTGCCAATCGAAGTCTTGAAAAATCGGTCCAGCCATTCCAGAGATTAGTCAGTACAAACAGACAGGCAGGCAGTTAAAAATTGAAAAAAAATGTTATTTAGGTATGTGTATCGTATTTATATTCAGATGCATGTAGTAAAAATCGGTTACTTTAATATTTTGAACGGACACCCCAATTTTATTTATCGATGTTAGTTGTATAGATGTATAGATATAGTTTAGTTTATGAAAATGTATGTTATTTAATACATTACAAAACATTCGATAGCTTTCTCAACTTCTTGCAATTGTTATCATAATCTGCATTTAATTTTTTCCGCAGTTAAGAGAACATCGTTATCGTTAAATGTCATTTTGTAGTCACGAAGCGTTTCGTATCACGATCACGATTGCTTTCCGTCATCTCGGGCTGATTGTCTTAATAATGATATTTTGTTCTTATTGGGATTAGTGATGTGGGGAAGATAATTATATCGATAACTGCAAAAACTCTTTTATCACAACCATTGTAAGCTGAGCAAGCCTAACCAGATAGCTATCCATTATATCTCAACCGTAAGAAAAACTTAAATGCGCCAGTGCTATTTAATAGCCCAAAAATACTACGCGAATATAAAAATATCTAGAATCGTACTTCGAAAGATTTGACGTCAATATTTATTCAGATGTAGTCTCCTTTTCCTACTCCTAGACCTAACACTAATTACTGTCAGTCAAGCATCTACTAAACTACTAATTAATTTATAATGTCAATATGTCTAAAGTAAAGCCTTGGTAACAAATTGCACATTTAACTTGTCAAATGACATGCACAAACATGTAATTGCATAGGAAGTGAACCTGTCGCGGCCGTTCAGGATACGTCGATGATTAAGATCATGTGTTAGACATTCATAATTATTCATATACCGTACTTACTGACATCCACTGAGCATATTTCACCATTTGCGCAGGTTAAATCGTATGTTTAATTTAAATTAAAATATAAATTATTTCTAACTAGCTTCTGCCCGCGACTTCGTACGCGTAATCCCATTTATTCCCGTCCCCGTTCGTGATTTTCGGTAAAAAGTAAAAAATAAGTATTGGTTAAAAAGCATCCTATTTCGGTTTCCTGGCTCTAAGTTACCTCCCTACCAATTTTCAGCCAAATCTATTCTGCCTTTCTTGAGTTATAAGTGGTGTAACTAACACGACTTTCTTTTATATACCTCTTTAGAGATTTCCACGAAAACAAGACTTTTTAGCGTCGATAGATTAGAACAAATAGAATTTGGTCTTCTGATATTTTTTGTATAAGGGATTTTAAGTTCACCTGTTGTTATTGTACTCTTTGTTGGGACCTCAGCCATCGCAATGGACGAGGACGTCGAGCACGGGTAGCTCGCTGCCCGACCAGAACCAGACCTGAGCGTACGGAGTCATCAGACCACCACAGATAGAGTCCAATAGGGTTGATACGGAGCCACGGAGGACTTAACAGGTTACCGGGGCTCCGGTTCAAAATGCAAAAGTAGGAACGGAGTGGTTTTTAGTTAGTAAAAGTCTGACATTCTCGCTCGCCTCACCCGGGCAGAAGAAGTAATTCGATAATTTTCCCCTATAAAAAAATGAAATCATTGTTTGGACAACTTTAAAAATTGCATTATTCTTGTAATTCCCGAAAGGGCAAGCTAAATGCATATAGCGAATTGTGCACTTTTTCCTTCTAAAATCTCGTTTTACGGCGATTATCAACGAAGATCTCTGACAGTAAATAATTCTCAGATAACTATCATAATTATGCAAAGTTCTTTTCAATTATGTGGTTATGTCTTGGTTATGTAAGAATATAGTACCTAATAAGTAGACTTCTCATCAGAAATGATTATATCAATAGCCATGTAGTACATTATACATTAATACTTATTAAATATAATGTAGATACAATCGGATAAAGGTGATCAGGTAATTTGCAAATAGGAAGTACTTGTTAGAAAGTGACTTACGCATCTGAAATAATAACGATTAAAATATTAACTAAGCTACGTTCTATCTTTTTAATTAAGCTATTAAAATGGCGTCCATGTCAAGAATGCTTTTTTTTTGGCCAATAACTAGTCTATTTGATAGAAGTAACTGCGTTCATCTATTGCGCCCTATACATATAATTATCCCTAAAGACAAGTGGATAAATAAATTCAAGTAAGTCCTAAGTAATCAGAGGTGGTAAGTACCACCGGTAATAAATAATGCTGGCACTATTTTAGCTAGTAATTTATTATACAAAGTATAGGAAGCAGGTACTATTAAATAAAATATCATGTCTTAATAGAACTGTCACGTGCCAGTTGTGCACGTACTAAGTTTCGAGTATTTTTCTCGACCGGAATTCAATTAATTACGTCCTTTAAAGTATTTTTTATCACAACTTTATTTTGCTTATAAAAGAAACATTTTGGTTTGTAAATCGATTCGAATATGAAGTTAATATACAGGTGCATGTAACAAAGATAGCTTTTAATAATTTTGCTAGATACCTCGTTTATCGAAAGGAATTAGATACGTACAAACAAATCAGTACGATTTAATATATATTTTTAATAAGACATCTGCCAGCATTTGCCTTCATCTGTACTTAAACATTAATTAGAATCAAAAAAGTTTGTAAAACCAAAAAAATAATGCACTCATTCCATCAAAATCAAACACACACAAGATACGAACCTACGACGATTGCCTGTCTGAGGCTACCTACTTGAATTACATTTTGAATTGTTATTTTCACATTTCTAGACCATAAATAACCACAGGGCCCAATCACAGATGGATCCCAATAGGGCCAATGCGGATTCGGAGTCACGGAGAACCTAACGAGTAACCGGGGCTCCGGCTCGACGTGCAGGAGAAGGAACGGGGTGGTTTTTAGACAGTAAGAGTCTGACACTCCCTCCCGTATCACCCAGGCGGGGGCAGTCATTCGATGATTTTGCCCTTTTTTTAAAAAAAAGACCATAAATAACACACAATAAAAATCTAATATGCACTTATAAAAGTGCCTATTTTAATTAAATATGTGTGAGGTGAATGAACTTCGGCCGTGATCGGAACAACAGTCGATTGATTGTAAAAATAAATCGAATGCATAGTGTCAACGTCAACGCATACAGAACTTGTAATTAAAACACTGATAACATAATTATCTTGACTAACGTAGGTAGTACTAACAAGACTATATCCTCATTCCTGAACCTTGGTAATCATACAGGATCAGTCACACAAAATGTAAAGCTCAACTGCTGCACCAACTGTCTCAACAACAACAAAGACTGACCGCAAGGTTCGGTTGCTGCGATGGCTGGGCAAATGGCTGCCGCGCAACGTGTCGCGGGTTCGATTCCCGCACGGAGCAACTCTTTGTGAGATCCACAGATAGTTGTGTCAGGGTCTAAGTATGATGTGTGTGTGAACTTGTATGTTCGTAAACACACGCATGACACAGGAGAAAATCCTAGTGTGGGCCACCACACTAGGATTTTCTCCTGTGTCATGTCTGTGCCACCTTTAAAAACTAAAATAAAAACTTAAGAAATTCAGCTGGGAAGAAATTAATCGCTATACATATATCAAGATTACATATAGCAATAGCCTCTATCAACTCAGATCAGCCTCCTATTAATTACCAAGTAATTTCTCAAATCACCAGATGCGCTAATTAGGCTAATCTCACATCATCTTCCCAGTGAGACGACCACACAATTACACCCAGGTTGGCCACAGCTCGCCACCAAAATGAAATCGCTTCCCCATCAGATTTGCGGTCAGTTTCGGCATCGCACGGCCTTACATAACAAACTGCAATAAAAATTATTGTAATTTGTGATATAAATCGGTGCATAACTGGCGATAATAAAATATTGTTGTTATTGCTTTCTTATTTATTGTTTAATGAGGCTTTGCATAAAAGATAGATTATGACCGTTCCGTTAGCGTATACATTTGATTACACTTTGAATTTGTAGAAGATGGGTTAAAATAAATTATGTTCCAATTTCTAAGTTCAGAAAGTAGCCAAGTAGCATTGTTTTATATTATTATGTAACATTTTAAAGAAAACTCTTCTTTATTAACTCGTCGAGTACCGGTTTTGTAGACACAATTATAGAACAATAGGTTGCTGGTTGGGTGTTTGACAGTTTAATTGATTATGATCTATAAAAACTATTTTTCAGATAGGTATTCCTACGTATTTGTATTAAATATATTGATGTCGGTTCGTAAAAACTTAAGTGTAGTCCTTGTTCTGATATTTTTATTTTCTTGGCTTATAATTCTGTAATAGGAGATTTCACTGAACACAATAATTCCAAACACCTAATGGTTGCATTTTACAAACCATATGTGAAGCAATTACCTAACCAAAGTGCCGTGTGAAAAAGTTAGAAGTATTTTGCAAGAGTCGCGCCTAATATATAATTAATGGTATTCTTTTTAAAACTATATTTAATGTTAGTATAAGAATTATTTGTATTGTAACTTTCGTGGGACATACTAAATAAATTATTATGTTTTCGGCTTACTCACGAGTAATTCGACGAGGAACTCGACTAGTTTCAAGCCATGTTAGTCAGTTACGACATCTACTGCGCTCGCCTAAGGACAAAGATCCGCTGGCAGTTCTCGGAGTATACATGATACCGATAGCCGAAATCGAAATACTTCGATTCACAGCGACCTTGAGGTCTCGAGTACTAGCCACGTCTTAGTCATCGATAACTAATCCTAATGAAATTTCATCTCGTCTTCCAGTACCGTCGCCATATGGACTCGGTGTACGACTTCATAGTGGTGGGAGGAGGGTCGGCAGGCTCCGTGGTGGCTGCAAGACTGTCTGAGGTGCCGGAGTGGAGAGTACTACTGCTGGAAGCTGGTACGATACTTTCAGATACTGGATAGTCTTTTTAAGGCAAAATATATAACTTTGTAAGTTTTGGAAGAAGTGGGAAAAGATACATTAAACTTTAAAACTTTGTATTTAAGTGCCATCCTTTTAAATAAGATCTAGATAAGCATCCAGTCATCGTGCCTTGAACCAATACTCCAAAGTATCCTTTTCAATACAAATATTTCATACACACATACCGTCAGGCCTGTCTCTTTAGGCGAGAGCAGTCATTCGATGATATTCCCCCCTTAAAAAAAGGCATATCTCTTTGATATAGACAGAAACAATGGACCATACTCATGAGGGTACATAGTCATTTTTGTTAAGCGCTTCATAATTATAATATATATTAAATAACAATGGAATACAAATTACCACAATTATATTCGATTACAATAATTTCTTCTAATATTACTCTACTCTTCTTCCAGGGTTTGACGAGCCGACCGGTGCGCAAGTGCCGTCAATGTTCCTGAACTTCATCGGGTCGAGCATCGACTGGGGCTACCAGACGGAGCCCGAGCCAGCTGCTTGTCTCGGGGAAACTGATCGCAAATGCTACTGGCCTCGAGGAAAGGTAAAGGAGTACACTCTTTACAAAATTCAAGAAGAACGCTGGGTGTTTTTGGCACCTACTCTAAAACTACCATTCGATTGGTTATAAGAACAACTGCCGAGTGTTCTCGAGTCCAATTCCACAAATCAGACCAAATATTGAGATTTCAGTTTTAGCAAATTGCCCGTTAAAAGAAAAATGCAATGGAAATTTAAAGAGAAAAGTTTTTTTCGCCATCTGCTTCCAGGTCCTCGGCGGTACTTCAGTCATGAACGGCATGATGTACATGCGCGGCTCCCGTAAGGACTACGACAGCTGGGCAGCAGCCGGTAATGAAGGCTGGTCCTATGAAGAAGTACTGCCTTACTTCTTGAAGTCAGAAGACAATAAGCAGATGAATGACATGGACCAGGGGTACCACGCCACTGGAGGACCCCTCACAGTCGCTCAGTTCCCATACCATCCACCTCTAAGTTACAGTTTGGTGAAAGCTGGAGAAGAATTGGGTAAGACACAACTCACAAACAAATGTCACGTTTTGTTAAAATGCTTGTAAACATCAGTCGGAAGATATCGAATGTTGGATAAAAGCCTTGTTCTACTGCTTATCAAAAGAAATCTTGAAATCAGAGAATTTGTCCTTATCAGCTAATGACTGTAATTTATTTTTCCAGGTTACAAACAACGTGATCTGAACGGCATCCACCACACTGGCTTCTCAATCGCTCAAACCACCAACCGCAATGGCTCTCGGCTGAGTGTAGCCCGCGCCTTCCTGCGGCCAGCCAAAAACCGCCCCAACCTTCACGTCATGCTGAACGCTACCGTGACCAGGGTTCTCATCAACCAGACCACTAGGCAGGCGTACGCTGTCGAAGTCAGGAACAGCTTCGGTGGCACTGAAGTTATTTTTGCTAACAATGAGATTGTTTTAAGGTCAGTTCTTTTAGATTTTAGTTCAAAAGCACATTTCGGCATTAGAAAAAAGAACGAATTGAAAGCTTACACCTTAAATAAAGACATAAATTGTGACTGAAGAATACCACCAAATTTCATTTATTTTTTGTGTATTGACAGTGCTGGTGCAGTAGCCTCTCCTCAAATCCTGCAGATGAGCGGTGTGGGTGACCCACAAGTACTGTCCCGAGCTGGCGTGAAGCTGGTACACAACCTGCCCGGAGTGGGCCGCAACCTGCACAACCACGTAGCCCACTTCCTGAACTTCCAAGTCAACGACAACAACACCACGCCCCTTAACTGGGCTACCGCTATGGAGTACCTGCTCTTCAGAGATGGGCTAATGTCAGGAACAGGTATGTGAGGCAATTTAACCTTATTCAGACCAGTCTTTAGGTGTCTTATTATTACGGCTTCTACTGGCAAAAATCTTACACCGGCTGGCTAAAATTTTACCATTTGAAATCACTTTTCAGGAATTTCCGAAGTAACTGCCTTCATCAACACCAAGTACTCCGACCCTGCTGAGGACAATCCTGACATCCAGCTGTTCTTCGGTGGTTTTCTGGCTGACTGCGCCAAAACTGGCATGGTTGGGGAGAGGCTGGACAATGGCTCCAGGAGTATTCAGATCATACCCACAGTATTACATCCTAAGAGCAGGGGACGGTTGGAGATCAGATCTGCTGATCCGTTTGAATATCCCAAGATTTATGCCAAGTAAGTAAAAACCCTCTGCTTGAATGTGCTGATAATGACTATGTGATATTAAATATCTTGTTAAGTAAATAAGTCACTGTAGTTAAATAAACAAATCTTCGGTATGCGTTCATCGCTCACAATAAAACCGAACGAATAAATACTAAAGAATGGAAAGGGAAGGGTGCCTAGTGCTGCAACCTTGACGAACTAGTTCGGGATCATAATCGTGATATTATGCAAATAAATCAGTGGGCATACCGAAAATAGTTATTGGATAAGTCACCAATTTACTGCTATTAAAGTACTTAAGAGCAATTTTGCTAACAATTTCGCAAATATTCCAAATCGCTATTGAGACTAGATCTCCTCAAATATTAACTTTACTGTTTCAGTTACCTAACTCACCCAGATGACGTGAAAACTTTAGTGGAAGGTATCAAATTCGCCCTCAAATTATCTGAAACTAAAGCCCTGAAGAGGTATGGAGTGAAACTCGACAAGACTCCTGTGAAAGGATGCGAGAAATTCAAGTTCGGTTGTGATGCGTACTGGGAGTGCGCTGTGAGGATGCAGACGGCGCCTGAGAATCACCAGGCTGGCTCCTGCAAGATGGGACCGAGAGGAGACCCTTCTGCTGTCGTTGATAACTTGCTGCAGGTAAACAGACTGATCTGTTATGAGTAAGTTGGAAGCCACAAATAACATCGAGGAAAATCAGAGATAATGAGAAATGACAAGATGATATCGTAAAATGAGAAAAAATCATTTCAGATTTTGAGGACTATCTAAAAAAGTCAATCAATAGAAGTCTAAAATTTCCCTTTTTAGACAATCCATCCAAACCAAAACAGATAATAATATAAGCATTCCTTAACTTTTAATAAATTTATCTCCTTACTAATCACCATCTGCATAATGACTGCACGGTTGGCGCGGTGGCTGGGCAACCGGCTGCTGTGCAATGGGTTGCGGGGTCGATTCCCGCACAGAACAACTCTTTGTGAGATTCACAGATTATTGTTCCGGGTCTGGACGTCAAGTGTATGTGAACTTGTATGTTTGTAAACGCACCCACGACACAGGAAAAATCCTAGTGTTTAAAAAAAAATTACCTTGTCCAGGTTCAAGGCATAGACAGGTTACGAGTGGCCGACGCGAGTATAATGCCGGCCGTGACGTCAGGCAACACCAACGCGCCCGCCATCATGATTGGAGAACGAGTCTCCGACTTCATCAAGCAGCGCTGGTTAGGAATAACCAATGTGAGTATAAAACCACTCTGATACGTCCTACCTCGGCCTAAAAGCATGGTTATGTTGACTCTGAAAGGCATATGGTGACTGAAATCAATCAATCTTTGGCGTGTGACAACGAGCCCGATTTCAAATCGAAGTCATAATAATTACAACGATAGAAGTATTGTATCTTTTTACTCGCTGTTCTCAATAGAAACCTATTTTTAAAAGAAAAATTGGAAAAAGTACATAGCTCACCCACTGCGTCAAACTTGACTGTTCTGTCGTCCCCCGCAGGCCCCGTACCCAGTCCCGCACGGCGGCCTGTCCAACGTGCTGCAGGCGAGCGACTCCCAGCCACAGCTCGCGTGGCAGCGGTGGGTGTGACGTCACAACACGCCACATATATATTAATGCACACCACTGCCTTTAGTGTACATATTTAGTATTAAGTTACGATGTCACAAAGTTAAAGCCTAGTTAAAGCATAGTTTAATGAATAAAAAATAATACTCAATCGTCCAGTTAGAGTCAATTTGGATAAAAAGTATAGAGATAATTATTAATTTAAAAAAAACACAAACCTGTAAAAATCCTCGAATTAGAACGCTGTATAGATCAAAAGCATTACCTGAACAAAATAAGTGCCTAATAGAAGAATATTTTCTGAAATGGTTTTATAAAGCGAATCTACCTAAGTCATCACAACATGCAATAATGTGACATCACTTTAGATATAACTACTATAACTTGGAACGCCCTGCGTTGTTGTACAAATTAGTATTTATTTGTATTTTAATGCCGTCCCGTCGATGTAAGCCACACTTGTGCACAAAACAATTGCACCACTGAATTATGACCAATACTTTGTTATTGCGTGCAATACTTTTGTCAGCAAGTGTATAATTTATGATAGATTTATTATATAAGTCATTTTTACAGTAATAAAATGTTTTTACATAAGGTTTGAGTTTATTTTGTAAAGGAGTAGGGGTTGCCAAAAACACACAAAAATACATACAAAAGAAATTCTTTATTGCACAGGGATATTCAAAAATACTTAATTGGATATAACAAATTGATTTTACACCCAACGCAACGTGTTATTGGTACATGAATACCAGTACAATACAGCGCCATACATAACCTACAAAGCTTGCGAGACATCAAAACTGTTCGTTTGTTGCTCGCCGAGTGAAGTCGTTGTATGTTTACTAAAGCTTCAACAAAGTGGGAAAGGAGAGTGCTTTGGTATAGAAGTGGAAAGGAAACTCGATCGATGGCACGACGCCCGCCGCGCGGGGCACTGGCGCGGCTACTGGGTACATACTCATATATAGCCGCGACACAAACACTCAGATTCCCCCATTAACAAATAATTTGGTGCACACGATCGAATAAATAAAATATCGACTAAACACCAAGGACCACACCACTAGCCCCGGCTCACATTAATGTTACCACTACCGGTACATCGGCAGCCAACATCGCCAACTCATAACGTCGCGTTATAAAAGCTACTTTCATTAAATTATTTCGAATAAATGTAAACAAATTAATAAAATGATTAACTAGGATCGTGCACACCGGCTCATAATATCAATAATAATATATTACTTAAACATATACGTCTAATACTTATATATCGTATCTCACTAGAATTTATTAAGCATCACGACATTGTGCCCTAAGCCGTACGATAATTACAAAATCATAATTTATAGCGAGCTGTCTTGATACTGAAGCTCATAGTACTGGAGAGTCACATGTGCGCAAAACAATAAAAATGCGCAATCTTTGCGCAAATATTGCGCATACAAATAACAATATTTCTTTGTTAAATGTCTATTCTACTCGCGCACAAATGACAGGCCAGTGGTCATATCGACCGTTTTCGGTTAAAACTAATCGCATTAACATAAAACAGCCAATAACACGTATATAACACTAAATAGTTTCGCGCTAGAAGAATATATTATTTTATTATTGTGCCCCTCATGTTTTGTAGCAAATTGAAACTAATATTATTATTTTCATAAGTTGAACATTCGTTAGCTATCATAAGATGAAGTAAAACTGAGATAATAAAGCATTTGGTACAAAACATGTGAGGCGAGACTATCTACAGTAATAATAGTAATTAAATAGAAAATATTCCGTTGAGTAAAATATAGCACATCACGTTTATTATTACATCACATCAGTCTCCATGTTACTGCGACACTCCGCCGCCAGTACTCAGGCTTGACAACGCGGCCGTAACGTACGACACTAGACACCGACTATCTATACACTGACAATACTCATAAGTATCAAAATATTACAAGTAACATTTGGAGGCCTATTTCACCAATACTACAACACGTTTATGTTAGGTAAACTGGCACAACAAGAGGCCTTAATCATACGGTATACCAGTGTATAGAAATGACATTTCCACCGCACGTTACTCACCAACAAACACTAAGCAAACACGAATACAACAAAACTTGAATAACAGAAAACAATTACATATCACACTTGCCCTGACTGACACACTACACTTCAACTGGTTAGTCCACCCATCATATACAGGGACGCGTTGCCAAACTTCATATAATAAAAACATAATAAAAAATATTAGAGCACCCTTATCGACATTACTATAAAAAGTCGGAATACTGAGATAAATGCCAACTTTTTAAATAAACTAATGTTGATAAGTATGTCCTGTGTTATGAGACAAATGACATGTAAGTGTAATGCCGGAATACTGAAACGTTACTCAATTTTAAGTCGTGCTTAAATATCGTGTCATCTCTGTCATTTTACAAAGAATTTGGAGAGACGGAACTATACTTAAGCATGACTTAAAATTGAGTAGCGTTTGAGTATTCCGGCATAAGTCGACCGAAATAATAGAAAGCTCATGATATTTAATGGGATAAGGTCGGCAAACGACCAGACGGATCACCTGGTGGTAAGCAATCTGCGTCGATCATGGACAGCCGTTACACCTGAGGAGTTGCAAGGACGTTGCCGATCTGTCAGGGATTAGAGATATGGGGGATGGGGGAAGGGGAAAGGGATTTGGGATGATTATATAACAATTATCGTCAAGTTTACTAATCTCTCAGTCGAGTATCGCCTTAAACACCATTTGGCTCATACCACGGAATAGCTATAAAGCTTCTGCCCACACAAACCTGCATGTAGCTCCAACGCTTATAGAACCAACAATAGGAATGCATTACAACTACGCAATCATAATAACTAACAAAACTCTGTAACGATACCCTGAGCTCTGGACACAGATTAAAAATAATTATACAAATACTTCACCGGTAACACTCGATAAAGAAAGAAACATTTAATATGTTAAAAAATATTTTGATATAGTTTTCATAGTATCTAAACAGATACGTAATCAAAAATTTACCTACATCTTTGAACAAGAAACTTATTGTTTTAAAATGAAGAAATTCAATTTATACTTTTGATTTATTATTCTATTCATATCTAATCTGTGACTAAAAATGAGTGGCAAGTTTAACAGTAAAGCATTTGTATAATTATAATTCCCGTGTCGGTATCTTTCCGCGCGTAATCACGCCAAACCCTCGCTCGAAAAAATCAACATCATCATAATTTATTTACAAAAACAATTATAAAAAATGAAATAATGTCATTATTGATAATATTCAATTCAATACATTAATAGATTAATTAAAATTTGTGTTGATAACTTTTGGTATTTAAGTAGCCGTACATGATTAGATGTATAGATATTTTTGACTCGAAAATATATTTGAGCGCCATCATTATTTGTACCATTCATAATAAAGAATTAGGTACCTGGCAGTGTGTAAATGACTTAATTTCGATAAAATATTGATCATTGAAATCATTAATTATACTCAATTTAACAATAGAATAAAAAATTGCAATTAAAAAAACTTTTTGAGCGTTTTCTGTGGTCCCTTCGCGGTTTGAACATAAGCTTAAATATTTTGATACAGACCACAATATACCATAATTTATTTGCAATATTTTCTTTATTATATTTATTTAAATTTTCGAAACTATACACCGAATCTTCGGGCCATATAATTTATAAGCATTTCATTCCACCTTCATAGACAGCTGATATCGGTGAAGTGACGAACGCTCTAAATAATCTGATAACAACCGAGTACATACCTTATCCACTATTTTATAAGGTACATATTACAATACACCTTTTAAGCAAACCAAATAAAAATCAACAGTATATATCGGCTTTTTATACTCAAATGTGGACGTTATACTGTGTATGATAGTAGATATAGCTGTCAATGCTAGCGCTGTCTTATCACCAATTTCAAGCTTACGGGGCTAAAACCCTAAGAAGCCCTATTACACCGCAGAGCTGGATTCCTTACGAAGGTGGCTCTATGCCACCAGGCAAGTAGTCTCACGCCGTTATATACCATAACTTCTACATAATAGAGCACATTTTCTTCAGGTCGTTTTCATCAGGATCTAATACTTCAGTGTCTCGTACCACAGGCTCTTTGCCCGCGATGTCTGGGAGGTACCTGGTAGGAAGGATATTGTTAAAATTTCATACAGAACGATAGGTGAAATATTTACTGTGTTGTTTTATAGTATAGTGTATGATAGCGTAGAATATTGCAGCGAATTATAGCGTTATATGTTGTAACATATTGTAGTGTAGAGTATTGTATCTTTTTGTAGGGCATTGAGTGTATTAAAATGTATTAAGTGTAATTCTGTAGTGCAGTGTTCAATAACAAGTGGGTGGTGGTATGCTGCAAATTCGCATGGGTTTCCACAAAGTAGCACCTGATTTTATTCAGTATATTGTGTAGTATGTGTATGGTTCGTGTGGCGTACCGCTCGTAGTCGAGTCCCTGGCGCTCGTAGAAGAGCAGGTACGCGGCGGCGGGGTCGATGGGCGGCGCGGGCGCGGCGGGCAGCTCGCGGCACGAGCTGTCGTTGTAGCACAGCCAGGCGCCCGACGGGTTGCGCGCGTACGCCACGTAGTGCCCGCCGCTCATCTGCCCCGAGTGGGACACCACGGCGTACAGCCGGTACTTCAGCTCGAACGGGTCCTGCTCCGGCAGCAAGTGGTGCCCGTGGTAGTCGATCAGGTTGTCGTCCGTCACCGGCGTCGTCACCAAACTCGTCGACTCTAACCTTTCCCTCCCTTTCACCTCCACTGAGCTCCTTCGCTTCCTCTCCACCTTTGGCCTCTGAACCTTCTGCTGGACATTACTCTCGTCGTCTTCGCTTTCTGACTCCGATATAGTATCGTCCACGAATACTGATGACCTTCGCTTTGAGTTGAGTATCTCGTTATGCCTGAGTATGGTTTCCTGTGGTACTGACGCTAGGTAGGCCGTGGGGTCGAAGTCTTGGAACGGGAAGTTGACTACTTTTTGCGATTTAATCCATTTGTTATTCACGTATTGGAATCTTTTTAGATGGACAACCTGCGAGAGTGAAATGAAAACGGTTATGGCTGACCGTAAACGAAAAGTTTGATGTCCTACTCCAATCCTACTAATATTATAAATATGAAAGTTTGTATGTGTGTTTATTAGTTACTCCTATACGTCAAAAAGGCTGAAGGAATCGAGATGAAATGACAATGACCAAAATTTGTATGGAGCGTGGTGCCTTTTCATTTGTTCGCGGCAGTTGATCGGATGTGAAAAAACTGATGCAGAATAACATTACAAAGAAAAAAATACATTTGTATTGTAACTTTCGTGAGACATACTAAATAAATTATTATGTTTTCGGCTTACTCACGTAATAATTTGACGAGGAACTCGACTATCGTACAGGGCACGCGCGCATTCACATCAGCACTTTTACATCGCTTTACTCAAATCAGTGTATAAAGCGCCAGTATACGTTCAGCACTTATATACATTAGTACTCACCACATCAACCTAGATAGCATTAGTTATTTGGTAGCGAAGTATATAATAAACGGATATTCTTTGACTATCAGTGATTTCTTCCTATCTAAACCTCAAGTTGTGTGCGCCACGCTCAGCACCGCATACAGATGGTGACGGTACACAACGCATATTTCTTCATTTACTGTCAGAAATATTTTGTAATAAATGTTTAAAAACGATTTCAAGGAATATAATAAAGCTTATTGTAGACTTTTTTACTTATTTTTTGTTTTTGTTTGTTATTTTTGTTTTAAGGCCACGGAATCAGAACAGAGTGAACCATTAACTAACCACTGCTGAATAAAAAAATAACATTTCGCTTGATTGGCTAGCGTGTTCAATTTATATGTATACGGTTTATGGCCTATGACAGATTTTCATGATCAATTTCCTCTCAGTCAAAAACCCGCAAAATACTTTACTGAGCCCTATCATGAAATGTTATGTTTCTCAGCTGCGGCATCGGTAGCGGATTGAGTAGCGGCAGTCGTCAAAACACGAAAAAAATATTTTTCTGTTTACTTCTCCCGACTTACTTCCGATTAGTAACTAATCTAACTACAATTAATACTTTTTAATCCACATCTAGCATAAGATTCTGTACAAAGACATCGTCATTCAGTCACAAAGTTATGGATTTCGACTAATCACATTATATGAAAAAATTATACGCCCATCTCACGTATAGTCCATCACTTTACAAAGTCGACGGTTTCCTTTCTTCAAAAGATTATGCTAACTATAAAGTAGATGAGTATCCCACCAGGAGTTAAAAAAAATACTTTATTAGATGTTTGGATGGCTACAACTACTCAACCCACCACTGGTACCACAGCTGACACTCATGAACCTTCACGACACAACTCCTAGAAGCATCCCACAAGTTATCGACTGAGAGAAAATAGCTAATAAAAATTAGCGACTGGCAATATGGATATATTGTTGTGTGATTTGGTGTTTCTGTGCCCGGCGTAGTGGCGAGCAATTTGAAGTTCGGAAATGTGACAAAAATATGAATAATTTGAATAAAAAAACGAAAGTAAAATGTTTGACTCTAGCTCATTTCAACGCTCATAACTCAGTCCAGACTGAGATTTCCATGTATGAGCCCATAGACAATTTCGTTTGTAATGACATTCTAGATCATATTTTCCATAAATCATCGACTGCCGCCAGAAAAAAGGAAGGCACCAATTTTAGTCAATGCCCTTTGGAACAGGGGTAGATTATGATTTGAAATAACATATCGACTACTTTTTATCTCACGGTTACGCAGGTGAAGCCACTGGCAAAAGCTAGTAATGACCATAGAGAAGCCAGCAGCTTTCCAGGTGTAGTAGTATAACGTACGAGTATGGGCGGCAGCCTCCATATCTGCAGCTTCTTGGTGGCGGGCTGCGCGCTGCGGCAGTGCGCGCAGTGGTAGCGCTGCTCCAGGCGCTCGCAGCTCGTGAAGGCGCGCAGACAGCTGGCCAGGTCGATGGCGCGCGCCGCCTCCGCGCGGCACATGGCCACCGAGCCGTGCTCCACCCACGCCTGCACCACAACTGGCATTACTCTCCGAGCGACCAGCCGCGACAGTGCCGCACGGCGCCTACCTTCTCCCTGGTGGACTGGTAGCGCAGGTGCAGCGCGGTGGGGTCCCAGTCGATGGCCAGCACCAGGTCCCCGCGCCGCGC